ACTGGAAAAGGCCATGAGGAGCCAGCACCATCCCCCAAAATCCCCACCACCCGAGGGAGCTGAATTCTGCACTCACCCTACTCCCCAGTTTACAGCACCAATTAAACTAATTAACGCCATAAACCTCCCTGGCCATTCCTCTGCCTGGCCTTTGTGCCAGAGCAGCTCTGGAACAGGATCCACACAGACCTCCCTGGTTTTGGGGGAGCTCCCTGGCTCTGATCTGTGCTGGCTCTGGAGCTTCCTGATGGATTCCAACTGGGCCAAAGGGCCTGGGATAAACTTGGGAGCATTGAGATCCTCCAGGGTCASAGTGGGGTGGGAATATGGGATGGGAACGGGATGGAAGCAGGAGGGGAGGGACCCACGGAGGTGGGGCAGGCCCCACGGTACCAGGGAAACTGAGGCATGCCGCTGGCAGTGGGGGACATGAGATTTGGGACACCTTGCCTAGCCCCAAAATCTTTCCCAGGCTGGGAAAGAGGGGGCGGATCCCACCCTTGGAAAGCACCAGGAGCTACAAATGGGAGTGCCATARCTCCAAAAGACCCCTGGAAAGAGGGGAGAAAGAGGGAAATGGGGGTAAAAGAGGAGTGGAAAAGGAGCAGTCGGAAGTGAACAAGAGTTGAATGTTCGTGGCCTCAAACAGGAACTGGGCTGGGGGGAAGGGGGGTTGCAGCACGTGAGGTTCATGTGAGCAACCTCCGCCCCTGGTCTGCGGCACAAACACAATCCCTCCTCCAAAAAAACCTACATTCCACTTTCCAAAAACTCCTCCAAACAACTGCCTTTATCCCCACGTACACACCTTCCCACCAAAAAAAAGGCCTCTCCCTCCGAAAACATCCCCCCCAAATCCACCTTTTCTCACACCAAAAACTCGTCCCTGAAAAAAAGCACCTTCCCCTCYCCCAAAACCTACCTTTCCCCCTAAAACCCGTATTATTCAAAAAATATACCTTCCCCCTCCAAAGAAAACTTCACCCACAATAAACTGAACTTTCCTCCCTCTAAAATGCACCTTTCCTCCCAAAATACACGTTTCCCACCCCAAAAATACACATTTCCCACCAAAGAATACTTCACTCACAAAAATACACCTTTCCCTCCCCCAAACTATACTCTGGGAAAAATCTGACTTTCTACCAAAAAAAAATTTCCAAAAAAATATACTTTTCTCCCCCCCRCAAAATCTTCACCTCCTGAAAACCACTTTCCCCCCAAAAAACCCACCTTCACCTTCCAATAAAACCTTTCCTGCCAAAATACCACCTTTCCTTTTTCAAAGAAACATGTTTTCCACCTCAAAATTCCTTTCCCTGCCAAAAAACCCTTTCCCCCCTTAAAGTCCCTCTTTTCCCATATGGGGAACCCTCTTATCCAACACCCCACACAAAAAGCACCCAGAAATAACAAAATCCACTTTAATCGACACAAAATTTGTTTTTAAAGCTGCTGTAAAATGGGAGTGGGGCATGAGAGATGTGGTCGGGGCGGGCAGGCACGTTTGGGAATGCCCCCACCACCCCAAAACCCACCCCAAAAATCACGATTCCCCCTGCCCGCCCCTGCTTGGGGACGCGGCCGGGAGGCCCCAAAATTGGGGGGGGGGGGTCCCGCCCCACCCTCCGGACCTGGAGCACTGGCGCCACCTGTTGGTGATACGGAGGATGACGGGGAGACAGGGAACCCCGATGTTCCACGGAGGGGTGGTGGCAGGGGACCCTGGTGCCCCAAGGTGGGGTAACAAGGGACCCCAATGTCCCTGAGGGGTGAGAGGGTCCCTGCTTACAGGGAGGGGAGTGAGGGGTCCCTGCTGTCCCAGGGGTGCAGGGGAGTCCCCGCTTTCAGGGTCCCCACAGCCTGGGGGTAGCTGCTTTTGCAGGTACCCACACTCAGAGTCAGTACACTGCCTCGTCGCCGTTATCGTCACTGTCAGGGCCGAAGCTCTCCCCGTTGTCAAAGTAGGACAGGACGTAGTCCGTCTCCTGTGGAGGGATAGAGGGGGAACACGGTGGCACCTGGGGATATCCCCATCACACCAAACTCCCTGGGGTTCCCTCCCTTTCACCTCTTCGTGCTCCTCCTCATCATACTCCTCCTCTTCCTCCTCCTTCCCCTCTTCTTCCTCCTCCTTCTCCTCTTCCTCCTCGGATGTCACCTCCTCCTCCTTCTTCTCTAGGCTCTGGGTGGGTCAGGGGAGTGTTACTGGGGAGGGACACCCCAAAATCCAGACAGTGGGAACACCCCCACCTTCACCTCACTACCTCCAGTTTCTTAATAGTCTCCTCCTTGTCGAGCACCACGTGTTGCTTGGGGATGAGGGGAGCTGTCCCTGGGGGGGCACAGGAGACTTTCAGCCCTCGCGGGAAAAGAAGGGACACGCGAGGTGAGGACAGGAAGGGGTCACTCACGGCCTTTCCGTAGGCGCCGCACTCGGATCTTCAGCTCCCGTGGGAGCCGCCTCCAGTCTGGGGGGCAAAATGGGGCAAAGTGGGGGGTTGGTCAGCCCCCCAGTCAACCGTATGTCCCCGTGTACCCCCTCCCCAGGTCCCCTCTATGTCCCCCCACCTGGGTTCCAGTCAATGGCGCTGTCCACAGGGCTGGAGAGCTGGTACTTGTCTGAGTAGCGCTCAATGTCTGCAGGGGCAAGGGGGGGAGAAGTGTGGGGAGCCACTCTGGGGGACTTAGGGGAAACCCACCCCTGGGGACACCTGTGGGACCCACATGGGGATGGTTGATGGCACGAGGTGGTGCAGCTGGGAGAGGGAATAAAATGGTGGGGGGGGGGAACAAAATTATGGGGCTGGGGGATCCCATTGTGGTGGGGTGCAGGGGGAAGGGGCTGAGGTGGATGACAGTGCTGGAAAGGCCATGGAGGAGCTGGGTGGGGGGACAATGAGGATTGGGATAGGCTCCCTTTCGCCCCCATTCCCACCTGTCCTCCTCAAAGGGGGGATACAGGAGGCACGGGATACATACCCCCCCCCCCCCAATACCTCTGCGAGGCGCCCCCGGCTTGACGAAGTAGGGGAGCCCCCTCATCGCCCTGCGCAGCTCCTGCTTCAGGGCCAGCATATACTCGCCCTCCTCGCCCCCGGGCAGGGGGGCAGCGCAGCGCTCCAGGGCCTRGGTCGGGGGATATGGATGTGATGATCGTGACCGTGCTCAGCCCCCGAGGAGCCTCCAGACCCCCCAAATCCGCGCAGAACTCACCGGGAAGAGGGGCGAGGGCTGCAGCGTGGGCGGGGGCAGCGCGTCCCCCTTCCCGATCCCCACGGCTTCCACGTTGAATGTCATCTGCCCYCGGCCCCGGCCCCGGCCCCGGCCCGCCATGCTGCGCCCCGGGGACCGCTGGGGACAAGGGGGGCACGGTTACACCTTTATCCTGCTCAGCCCTGCCCGATGCTGGTGATACCCCACGGCTTCTTGCTCCCGGTAGCCCTTCAACTCCTGTCCCCTTCCTCTCCTGCCTCCCCGCGGTCCCACTCCCCACCGCAGTTCCTCCCTCGGTCCCGGCCCCGGTGCTTCCCCCCGGGCCCGATTCTCCCCCGTCCCGGCTCCCGGTTCCAGCGTTCCTCCACAATCCCAATTCCGCCCCGTTCTCGGTCCCGGTGCTCCCCGGTGCCGGTTCTCTCCCCTCCCGAGAACCGGCCCCGGTGCTGATCCCAGTCCTAGCGTGTCCCCCTGGTCCCCGTTCCCGTACTCCCCGTCCCCGCTCCGGTGCGCAATCTGTGTGCACCACCCCTGTCTCGATGGCCTCCCACCCCCCGGTGACTCTCGGTCTCAGTCCCCGTCCCCCTCTCCGCTCCTGGGTGCTCCCGGTGACCCTCCCGGTCCCGGTATCGCCCCTTACCCCGGCGCCGATCCCCGCGCCGATCCCGCCCCGCGCAGGCTCGGTCACTCCGCGTGTCCGCACCCCGTTCGCGCACAGGGGCGGTGTTTGGGGTTTCCGCTGATTGGCGACTCAGAGCGGGGGAGGGGCCAGCAGAGGCATCAGAGGATGGACGGGGCGGGGGCGCTGACGGGGACGCGGGATGGGAGAAGGGGGATGAGAAGGGCTAAAACAGCGGGGGGGAAGGGGGGGATGAAAAGGTCCCTCTGCCCCCACGCCCGGACCGCCCCAGCCCCTCTGTCCTGGGGCAGCTCAGACCCCGGTATAGGGCCTCCCTGACCCACAGCCCCGCTGTGCTGTGCCCCCAGTTCTACTGCCCCACGCCCCCCAGCCCTACTGTTTTCGAACCCCCAGGCCAGCTGCCCCCTGGCCTCCCCCAGTCTCCGACCCTCCGTGGACCTCAGCCCCCCTGCATGGCGACCCCTAGCCCTGCTGCACCATGGCCCTCAGTCCTGCTGGACTGTGATCCCCAGTCCTGCTGTCCCACGGGCCTCCCGACAGCCTCCTTTGCCCCCAGCTCTGGTCCCCCCTCCTCATCCCCACGGAGGGCCGGGCACTGGATGCGCCGTGGGTGATTCATCCTGCTCCAGCCCCGCCGCGGCAGCAGCTGCCAAAAATAGCACTGCGGGAGCGGGGGGACCCTCCGCATCACCTCCCGCCCCCCGCCTCACCGGCGGCAGGCCGGGATGGCGGCCACGGGCCGCTGTCCCCGACAACCCCATCCCCGGGGCCGCCGGGACTGGGACCCGAAGCGGAGGGACCCCGCGCTCTGGTTGCCACGGTAAAGTGGGGATGGAGAGGGGTTGGATGGGGGATCCCTAGTTCTGGGGTGTCCCCACTGAGTGGGGGGTGACAAGGCAGCCCCCGATCCCAGGCTCGGGGATGTCTCACTGAAAGGACTGAGGGGACTGGGAAGGCTCTGAATTGTCCCCCATTTTCCCGGCTGGTCAGASCGGGATGAGCTGCCGTCACCATGGGAACCGTGCAGGCAGAGATGGAGTGTGGACAGGAATCAGGGTACCGGCAGGGATGGGGGTATGGGCAGGGTATGGGGGTACAGACAGGGATGGGGTGCAGACAGGGGATGCAGGTGGGGCAAAGGGAGAAGGGGGGGAGAAGGATGAGGGGGGAGTGCAGGAAGGGATTTGATGAATGTGAGAGGAACTGGCGGCAGAGGCAGGTGGGGTTTGCAGGTGCGGGCAAGGGAGATGTGGGAGAGGGACACAGGCTGGGGGCCTCCCGGGAACCCTCCCTTGCTGAGGAAACTGAGGCAGAGAGAGGGGACATCCCATTCTGGGGTCTCCGGGGTGTCACCTTGTGCCCATCCTGGGAGTCTGTCCCTATGCCCCATCCCAGTGGACTTGGGGGTCTCATGCTGCATCCTCTCCCCTTGCAGTGAGCAAGTGCCACCCCTGTTCCTGCACTCCGTCCTGTGAACCCAGCCATGCCCAGCCCTGTCCGCCGCCCCCCCAGCACTGCGGTGCCGCCGGGACTCCCCATGATCCCAGCAGAGGGTTCAGCGCTGCTGCACGCTGTATCGCAAGGGAAATTCCGCCTGACCCGGCTGCTGCTGGAGGGGGGAGCCTACATCAACGAGGGCAATGCTGCGGGCATGACGCCGCTGATGGCTGCGTGCCGTGCTGCCTACGCCGACCCACCCGAGCAGCCACGGATGGTCCAGTACCTTCTGGAAAACGGCGCCGATCCCAACATTCCTGACAAATCCGGGAAGACAGCGCTCATGCACGCCTGCGCAGAGAGTGCTGGCCCGGCTGTGGCTGCCATCCTGCTGGCCCATGGCGCTGACCCTAGCGCCCGGGATTACACAGGCGGCTCCGCTCTGGTTTATGCCCTGGAGCGCGGGGACCGGGAGACGCTGCAGGTGCTGCTGGATGCGTGTCGGGAACGCGGCCGTGACGTCATCATCATCACCTCAGCCACGTCGCCCCACGGCACCAAGACCACCCGGCAGTACCTGAACTCGCCCCCATCGCCCGCTCTCTGTGCGTCCCCATCCCAGGTGCAGGTGCGGGCAGCAGCATCACCAGGTGCCAGCGTGAAGGACGAGGAGCGCGACGTGTTCTGCTTCCCGCCCACAGCTCCGGCTCCAGGCGTCGCTCCAGAACCGTCCCGGGCCAGGCCCAAGCGGCAGCTGAAGAGGCTCAATTCGGAGCCATGGGGGCTGGTGGTGCTGGGGGCGGAGGGGATACAGGGAAATTCCGAGGGGACACAGAGAAGACTGGAAGGGACCCAGGGATCCCCAGAGGGAACATGGAGAACCTTAGATGAGATACAGGGACCCGTGGAGGGGACACGGGGCCCCTCAGAAAGTTCGTGGGGTTTCCCTGAGGGGCTACGGGGGCCCCTGGAGGGGATGAGGGCTCCCCCGGAAGAGCTGGCGGTGGGGCTGAAGGGGCTGGGGTTGCGTCCGCGCCGGCACAGTGTGGAGGGGCGCGAAGTCTCAGGGCTGCCAGGGATCACCTGGGCCGAACGGGTGCCCCACATCCCCCCCCCAGGGCATTGGGCCCCAGCCCCCGATCCTCCGCGGAGCAAGCCCCTGACCTGGGACCCCCCTAATCCTGAGCTAGCCACCCCCGGGCCACTCCGACACCCAGCTGGGCTGCTGGAGCGCCGTGGCTCAGGAACGCTGCCCCTGGAGCCCCCTGGGCCAGGCAGGGCTGGGCTGCTCCCCCCGCTGCCCCCCCGAGCACTGCTCCGCCGGCATTCCATGCAGCCAGAGGCCCTGCGGCATCTCGGCGCTTTCTGCGGGGCGCTGGGTCCCGAGCCTGGCTCATAGGGACCCTCTTGGAAAGGCCTCACCTTGGGCACTGGCACCATTTGCTCTAAACCCTATTGAGGGTCAACTCTTCCATTCCTCTGTCAGCACAAACTCTGCACGACCCCAAACTCCCTTGGGAGCTGGTGGGTGTGCCCCCAATCCCTAGGCCCCCCCGGCATCTTCCTCCTGCCACCTCATTCTACCCAGACCCATGGCTGGGGGTCCCCACGGTCTGGCAATAAAGGCCCCACCCAGTGCAGCTCAGTGGCTCTGAGTGGGGGGGGGGGGTACACATCTTGGGGACATGGGACAGCTGGGGGCACAGCTGGATACTGGTACAGCCAGACACCAGCACATCTGGGCACAGGTACCCCACTGAGTCCCTCCCAACTGTACAGCTGTTCCTTCCCAATGCCAGTTTTAAGGGAAGAAAATGGTTTTCAAAGACCTCAGTTACTCTACTGCCAGGCTGGGAGGGATCCCCAGAATCTGTRGGGATCCAGCAGTCAGGATGGGGAACAGGGAAAGGGGCTTGGGAGGGGCTGGGGAGCTTTGATGAAGGACACAGAACAAGAAGACAAATTTAGACAAAATGTTGTTATTTAACAGAAAACAAGGAATTCCCAGCGGGATGAATAACCATGGGAAAGTTAGGGACCCTTTCCTGTGGGCATGGAAAAAACTCCTGGGATGGGGCAGCTGGGAGCGATCCCCCCAAACCTGAGGGAACCCCCCCAACCCTTAGAGGCTGCTGCTTCCCTCATATTTGTCCTTTGAAAACAATAAAATTACGTGAAATGCCGATTTCCCCAGGTATGGAGCCACGTTGGCTCCTCAAGGAAGTGTACAAACCCTAGAGTTTTCTCAGTTTCCCCCAGCTTGGACTTGGAACACAAATGGGTAGAAGCTGGATCCATCATCGGCGACGCCGGTCTGGACTGCGGCTTCGCCTGCGCCCACCCCTGGAAAACAGGGAAGAGATAGGGAAGGGAAAGGGGAAGAGGAAAACGGGAAAGGGCGAAAGGGAAAAAGGGATAAGGGATCGAGGAAAGGAAAAAAAGAAGAGAGAAAAGGGGGGAAAAGCAGGGAAAAAGGGCCAGAAAATGGGGGAGAGGGAAGGAAGGACTCTAGGAGAAGGGCATTTTGGGGTTATTATCCCTATTTCAACCCAGCCTCCCCCATGATGGTGCATGGAATGCCCCCATTCCTCTAGCTGAGGGTTCTGACACTCTCCCAGGTCCCTCCCATTCCCAGCTCCTGGAATTCTCAACAACTCCCTCACCTCCGCTTGCCCTTGGGGGGACCCCTGACGAAGCACCAGTCAACGCTGACCGGCTGCCCCATGAGCTCCTGCCCATTGAGCCCCTCCATGGCTGCCTGCGCCTCCTTGTACGTCTCGTACTCCACCAGCGTGTAGCCCTGGAATGGGATTGGAATTGGGGATGGAATTGGGAATGAGCCTGGACACCAGGGGAACTCGCAGCTCAGGTTTGGGTTGCAGAGATTCCCTGACACCCGGGGTTTGGGAATAGGAATGAGCTYGGGCATTGTGGGAACCCCCAGCTCACCCAGGGATCAGGACCAGGAATGGGAATTCATAGGACCCCAGGCACTGGGAGAAGCCAGCTCACAGCCGCCCCCATCCAGCTCAGTTTTGGGGTGCAGGGACCTCCCAATAAGTCAACTTTGAGGTGCAGAGAACCCACTGACCCCCAGAATTGGCTCAGTTTTGGAGTGCCTCCCCAAAGCTGAGATGGAGCCTGGGAGTCCCTACGACTCCCCCCAAACCTTGAGGTATCCCGTGCGCCGGTCCAGGTTCAGATGGATGTTCTTGATCTCCCCGAATTCGGCAAATCGGTCATGCACRTCTTCCTCTGTGGCCTCCTCGTGCACCCCTGTCACAAACAGGATCCAGCCCTCCACGGCTGGGTGGGAAAAAGGGGGGTCACGGGGCTGGGAACGGAGCTTTCCCCCTAAAATCTTTTGCCTTGGGGAGCGGACATAGAGTGCCCACGACTGAGTTTTGGGGGTAGACCCAAAAGTGATCCTGGGAAGCTGAGGAAGAATCACCCCAGTATGGCCCAAATTCCTCCTCCTTCCCATGGGGGGTCCCCAGGAAAGGATCTGTCACCCAAAATCACCCCTTCTTCACAGGTAGGGAWGGGAGACAGAGACCCAGATTCCATAAATCCTAGGTGAGGCTGGGGAAAGCTCATCCCAGCAGGACTGAAYTCTAGTTCAGAGCCCAGGACACCCATCCCCTTGCATTTTCCGTCCCTTCCATGGAAAAAGTGGGAGTCTACCAACCCTGGAGGCCATGTGGTTCTCAGGAAGGAACATCTCCCCCAAAATSCCCCATTCCTATCCTTGGGAAGAGGATATGGAGCTGGGGTTTACCCTAAAATCCTGGTGAATGAGGGAGAAGGGATTATCCCAGCCCAGGATTATCCCTGCCCAGCCGCAGAACCCCCCCATGAACCCTTCCAGGACCCCAGTGGCCCTCCTCACATCTCTGTGGCCCCGGCTCATCCCCATCCTGCTCGACGCTGTCGTAATCCTCGCGCACCCGAGCCCGGGATCCTTCCTCTGGAAAGGAAGAGAAAACAGGGGAAGAACGGGGCCCCCGACCCACAGGGTCACCCAGCCTCTCCCAGAGCACCAGGGAAGGGGTTTAAGGGTGTTTTGGGGCCTCACCTGAGCCGAAGCCACGTCCCTTCCGCTTCTTGGCTTTTTCCTTCAGTTTGTGGATGCTCTCTAGAGGGGTAGGAATTGCAGGGAGGGACGGGTATAGTGGAGTCAGCTGGAGCAAGGAGGCCCCCGGATAGGCAGGGACCCCTCATCCTGGCTGTAAAACGGCCCCCCTGGGCTGGGAATGACCCCCTGGGCCGGGAAAGACCCATCTGGGCTGGGGAGAAGCCCCTGGTATAGGCAGGGATCCCCCCAGGAAAGACAGGATAGTCTCCCCGTGATGGGAATGACCTCCCCTGGCCCAGACAGGACCCCCAGAGTCCGTTCGGGCTAGGAATGATCCCATGAGCCGGGAATGACCTGTTTCGGACAGGCAGAAACCATCTCCCATGCCGGGAATGACCCCCAGCGCTGAGCAAGAGCCCCCTGGGAACGACAAGAACCCCCACCCCAGGCTGGCAACGACCCGGCCCGGGCCAGGGCTGTCCCTGAGGCCGACGGGGTTTGGGGCCGCGGCCAGCGGCGGCGGGAGCGACTCCGCCAACTTGGGGCCGGGCCGAATCAGTCGGCGAGGCCGCTCCGGGCCGGATGGAACCGTCCCAGCGCCGCACTCACCGTCCCCGTCCTCGTCCATAGCGAAATCCTCCCCGCCCGCCTCATGAAGATCCAGCACGTCCGCCATCTTGGCCAGGCTAGTGGGGCACGCCGGGAGCGCGCCGGAAGGTCCGCCATAGTGGGAGAGTGCGTGACGGAAGTACCGCCACATTGATGAGGTCGCGCAGCGGAAACCGCTGTGCCGCCATACTGGGAAGGGCACTTGGCGGACGCGCCCGTTCAGACATGCGGAGAAGGTCGCGACGTCTTGCCGCCCTATGAGACGCTCTGGAGATTTCTCTTCCCCCCGAGGGTTTCAACCCCACTCCGGGGCAGCTCAAAGCTAATGCTGGGCACGACTGGCCCCAGAAAATAAGCAAGAGCACCAAAGTTAACCAAAATCGCTGGTTTTATTGTATGGAATCCATGCCAGTGCTTATACCACCGGATTCCCTTAATTCACTGCCTCGATAAAGAGCACTTTTTCCACACTGAGAAAACTTGGATTTGTTCATCTAACACCTCCCAAAGGGATCCGGAGCCTCCAAACTCCAAATCCTCAAGCGATGGAAAGCCCCGCCAACGGAAGTGCTGGGAGGAGCCTCAGGGATTCCCTCATGTGCACAATCAGGGGAATAAATTGCAGGATTAACTCCATGTTATTCCTAAATTCAGTTCTTCCAATATTTCAGGAAACTGACACCCCACACCTCCAATCCCTTCCAGCGACATCAAACATTAATAGTGTTATAGAAAGTATAAAAAATATATAACCCCCCAAACAGGCTCATTAGGATGGAGATATAAAAGTGGGGTACCTACGGATAATGGTATTATTCCAATTTTATCCTAAAACAATGATTACTGCTGGAATATCCTGCAGTCAGGCAGAAGGAAGAAGCAGGGTGGGAATAGTGGAATCCAAAGGGTTTAAGGGAATAGGAAGTGGGAAAAGCTCTAAACTAGGGTGAAGAAGGAATTCTGGCTTGGAATTTAGTTTGTATTCCCAGGCTTCTGGGGAAAAGGGGAGTAAAATGGAAATTTCCAGGGATAAACCGCCATTTTCTTAGGTGAGCTTGCAGCTGTTTGAACAATTCATGTCACARAAGGGGTTTCTAAATCTAAATATAGTCTAAATTCAATATGGCTATGGATACAAGGAATAGGGATTGACTAGTGCAGATCTCTCCCTCATTCCCCAATCCTCCAAGACTTTTCCAACCTTCCATGAAAAGGACAGAGCTGATGTTTGGCCACAGACAGAACTGCAAATCCTGCCATGCTTGGGACTGGAATGCTGCGGGCTGAACCCAGATTTAATTCCAAACCCCAGTTTTCAATCCCTTTGGATATCACGTGTGTTGGCATCCACTGAGATTTCATGAAGGAGCTTATCAAGGAGGTTTAGTTGATCCCTTTCTGCTAGAGGATGGAGGGTACCCCTCCTGGCATTGGATCCAAAGGGCTTTTCCAGAGGAAACACTGGATTCCACAGACCATTCCAGCACCACTGGAGTGCGCAGCGGGCAAAACCTGCGATCTGAAGCCCAAAATTAATGAACAGAAAAAATTCTGTAGGGAATGAGGAATTCCCAGGGAATAAAAAGTTTCCTAGGGAATAAGGAGTTCTCAAGGCAATAAGAAATTCTCTAGGCAATGAGGAGACTGAGGAGCAGCTCTAAAGACTGGGATGAAACTGCTAAAATCCATTCAGGAGCTTTTTCCCTAAATTTCTTCCAAATGTGCAAATGGGCCAGGATTCAGGAAAATGTGTCAGGAGCACCGGGAGGGATCCCAAGACTGGAGCCTGGCATTCAGCAGCCGGAGGAGTGAGCTGAGCCCAGCTGGCCAGCCGCCAGCAACAGGATGTCCTTCTTCTCCTTGTGGAATCGCAGCTCTTTCCCGGCCAGCCGGGCCTCGTCCAGCTCCCGCTCGGTGGCTGCCAGCTCCCGGGAAAGGGCGCCTGGAATGCTCTGCTCTCGGTTCACCCAGTCCAGGGCCATCTGGTTTCGGATGTCATCGTCCAGAGCACGGTGGGAATAGTGAGCCAGAACTTCCTGGTGGGAGCAGAATGCAGGGGGAAGTTTAGGAATGAGAAGGAGCAGCGGGATCGGGGTGAGCAGCCCTGGACTCACCTGGCGCGAGCACTGACGCTCCCGCATGGCCTTCAGACTCCCATTCCAGTGCAACAGCTGGAAAACCGTCATCAGCTCCTAGGACAGCAAGAGAGAGGCAGAATGAGAGCAGCTACAGGACCGAGATCATGGAATTATGGGGTGGGGTGGGGTGGGGTGGTTTTGGGGCAGGAGGGACCTTGGGGATCACATGGAGCCCAGGAGGGACACCGGACACCTACTTGGGTGGTTCTGAGCCCTTTCTAACTTGGCCTGGAGCACTTCCAGAGATGGGCAGCTTCCCTGGACTTCAAGGCACCACCAGGACCAGGACACTGGGGCAAAATTCCCTGATTAAKCTCGACTACAATGGAGACAGAGCCYTCAACACTCCTTGTGCTCTGGGAATTCTGGGATTCTCTTCTCCTAGCTGAACCACGGGCAGCACCAGGGACAATTCATTTTTTCAATGATTTCTCCCTCCAAGCCACACATATTCTGCTTAAAATCTGGGACCTTTCAGGCTTCCCAAACCCAGATGGAAGGGGAATCTCCATCCCAGATTCTCCATCTGTAAACAGGGCCCTGAACATAAACACCTCCTGCCTCCTGAAGCATTYCCATTCTAGGAGAAGGAGCCAAGAGAGGGGTTGGAAAAGTACAGAATCCCAAACACAGCCAGATCCTAAAGCTGGATCCAAACTCTGGAGCAGAGCCACAGCCAGATTTCTCTTCTAATGAAAATCCAGCTCAGGTGGTATGTGCCCCAGAATCATTGCCAGTCCCTACCCAAGGCCAAATTGAAATTAAAAGGATTGAGGAATTAAAAGGAACTATTGGAACAATGTCCTGGGATGGACAGGGAGTTGCAATCCTGATTTCCCTGGCTCTGCTCCCAGCTGCTTCAGTGGAAAGGCTGTAATAAAGCCCAGAGGACCCTCCATTCTCAGTTGTCCTCCTAATCCTGATCACTTCCAGCACCTTCCCTTGGCAGCTCAGACTTCCTGTTGTCCAGATGGTCTTCCCAGACACATTCCAATGGGATACAAGGATATCTCTGTGGTTTGTGGGAATGTCATGACACCACTGACTCCCAATTCCACAATCAAAGTGTCTTCGGGGGAAAGATCTTCCCATCTTTCACTGTGAAAGCTCTTCCTTCCCTGTTTTCAGGGAGAGGATGCCACAATTATGACATCTGGAGGTACCACCTGGAAATACCAGAGTGGAACACTTCCCTGACACTGAGAAACCCAGTTCCAAGGACTTTCCTGCACCTGGAAGTACAACGGATCTGAACAGAATCAGAAGGAAATCTTGAGTTCATTTTCCACAGATAACACTAAAAATGCAGCTGGGACATCAACCCAAATATCCCTTAATCACATCAGGAATGGGACCTGGATAGATCAGGAACAGTATCTGCACAAATTTGAAACAGTACCTGAAACTCCAGCATGGATTTTCCCTTGTTGGACTCCAGCATGAAGCGGAAGGCACCAATGCCAGTGTTGGGATTATCTGCCTCCTCTCGATCACCCTGCAGAGACATCGCAGACAGGAGTTGCCATTCCCACTGGATCTGCTCCCACTACACTATCCCCATTCCTGGAATTCCCAGTGGGATTCAACCTGATGCCAGCACAGGCTGAGGTTGTCACAGTCTAATGCAGGTAACCCAGCCTCAACCGCATGGCATGGGACACTCTGGCACTCCCTGGACAAATTTGGGACAGCACCTGGGTAAGTCTGGCTCTCCTGGAGCAATGAATCCTCTGGGCAGAGGATTTCTCCTGTACTGATTCCAAGGCTCTTACAACACCCTGGAGACCACAGAGCACCATGGGGCGCATGACAAGAATTCCCTCCAAGATCATCAGAGCAGAAAAAGGAGAATGCAAAGCTTCCAGTGACAGAAACTAAAATTCCTGGGAAATCTTTGGCTTAAGGGAAACTAGTGGATGTGACAACCCAGTCAGGGAAGGGCGAGGGATATCCACACCTCAGCCTCATTACCACACCCTGGAGTGCAGCACAAAGAGCAGAAGAACGGGAATAAAGATACATTTAAAACCTTAATATTACATCAACCCCCCAAGGAGTTCTAATGCCCTGACTTGAGGTCTTTCCAGGGATTTTCCATCCCTATCCTTACGTTGAAGGATGCCAGGGCCTCAGAGACACTCTTCTCAATGAAGTCATCAGTGATCCGGCGGGAAGGATGCTCGTTGAACACGGAATTCATCAGTGCGATCTTGGCTGCACTCCGGCGTGCCTCAGCCTTAGTGGGACAGAACTGGGGACACATGGCCACAGCTGGGACATTGCCAGGATCCCGACACTCCCCAGATCACCAGGAATGGGAACTGAGTGGTAGTGGAATTAGGAAGTCGTACTCCCAGAATCACAAGGGGTTCAGAACCTCCTGCTGCATTGTCAATTCATTGATTACCTCAAACCCAAACTGTTCCCAAATTCCCCCCAAAGATGACAATTTTGGGATGGGATAACCCTGTTGGCAGCTAGAATTCTTTCCTTTGGATCCATTTTCTCAACCAAGAGGAAGGGCAGGAAAGAATCTGGAACACACCCAGGACTTGAGGGGGCGTTTGGACATTAATCTCTTTGGGTTAGGAGAGAGATTTGGGTCAGGAGTTTTCCCAGGAGGGGTGGAGGGGTCGATTCCTCCAGTGGGATGTTCCCTGCCCACGGCTCAGGATTGGAATTGGAYGGTGYTTAAGGTCCCCTCCAAYCCAAGCCATTCCAGGACCCCATGATCCAACACTCTGATTTCATTTCCAGATTTCTGGCATCTGGAGAAGAAGTTTTGTGACAAATCCCAAGCACCAGCCTAGGAATATTCCTCTGCCAATTTATCCCCGTGCCTAATCCCGGGAAGGAAAAGGAAGGATCAAATCTGGGAAGGAGAAAGAAGGATCAGATCCAGCCAATTCAACAGTTTYCCCTGATATCCCATTTCCTGCCTCAGCACTAAGGTGAAAGTAACCAGAACAGGGAGTAAAGGACACAAAAAAAGCACAGTCCACAGACAAATCTTCCCGAACTGGGATCTGGTGGGGATTTACAGGCCAAGAGCAACTTGCAATTAAATTTCCTTGGAACTAAAGGGGTTTAGGGCCAGACCCAGGAGCTGGAATTGGCAGGAGAATGCCCGTGCAGGGAAAAGACATTTGGGAAACGATTCCGGTGGAGTTTGGGCAAGGCATTCCCGGGGTCGAGATCATACCTGGAAGCTGCCGAAGCAGCTGCCTCCCGGCAGGGTGACATAGCAGACGTAGGGGGGACTGGCGGCCGGGACCATCTCGTAGAGTACCAGGGCCCCGTTGCGCAGCTCGGCCCCGCGCGATTGCTTCATCTGCCAGAATTCCTGCAGCGCCTCCACGACGTTCACTGCCGGAGAGAGCCAACGGAACAGCCGGGAAGGAGCCCCGGGGATTGGCATGGGACGGTGGAAATGGGGCGTGCAGAGGAGGAAAAGGGGCAGGGGGAGAAACGAGAGAGGGGTAAGGAAGGAAGGAAATGGTGTATGGAAATAAGGAAAAGGGATACGGAAATAAGGAGATGTGAAAAAAGGGAGTAAGGGAAAAGCTACCCCCCTCCCCCCCGCTCCGTCGGCATCCCCGGTTCCCTCCCGGTCCCGCTCACCTCGGCCGTAGCCCTGCGTGTGTTTGGCGAAGCTCCGCACCACGGCCTCCACCGCCTCCCGCAGCACCGCGGGCGGCCCGGGCACGGCCCCGGCCCCGGCCCCGGTCCCTGGGGGCGCGGGGGGGCCCTGCAAACCCAGCGGGGGCGGCGGGGGCGGCAGCCCCAGCCCCAGCCCCGACCCCGTTCCCGGTCCCAGCCCCGCGGGGGCCCCGGTGAGGCCAGGTCGGGCCCCGCGGGGCCCCGCGCCCACCCCAGGCTGCAGGCGCTGCGCCCGCACCGCCTCCATAGTGGCGCTCCCTCCCCAGCGCCWCACTGTCAATCAGCGCCGCTCCGTGCCCAACAGCCCAATGGGAGAGCCGGATCTGGGCGGGGGAGGCGGGAAAAGCACCAGCAGACCAATCACAGTGCGGTGCGCGGCTTGAGGGGCGGCACCCTCACGCTAACACAAATAGCGGTGCGTGGCCGAGAGGCGGTAAAGCGGCGGGGCTTAGGGAGCCGCTGTCCAATCTTGCTGCGGAATTTGTTATGATGACAGGGGAAGAATCGAATCAAAATGCTCGAAGCACAAAACAGCGGAGATGGCAGTACGGGATGACAGCCGCACTCTTACTGATCAGGAGTAGTAATTAATGGAGAAAGAAACCAATCAAACTCTTCGACACAGATTGAGAGGCGGAGATTGCGGCTGCCGCCCATTGATGGACTCTGTTTTGGTAGGAGTGGGCGGATCCGCGCACAGCCAATGGGAACGAGCCGCGGCAGCTCCCGGAAGTGACGATTTGCCGGGCTCGGGACCGGGATCGCGCTCGGGACCGGGCCCGGTGCGGCCCCGCCTCACCATGGAGGCCTGGGTGCGCTTCAGCGCCCAGAGCCAGGCCCGGGAGCGCCTCCTCAGGTGCGGCCACGGCTCCACGGGCCCAGCGGCCGGTCACAGGGGCAAAAGGGGGTCGCGGAGGTTCGGAGGGGGCGATCACGGCAGCAGCGAGGATCACGGAGAGCCCGGGAAAGGGGTGTCATGGAGTCCTCCTCCCGTCCCCCGAGGACGGGAATCATTCGGGGTTCTAAAGTCCCGGTGCGGCGGGTGGGCGATCAAGGACGACTTAAGGGCCAGAGAAGGGGGGTCCAAGGCCCCGGGAGGATGTCCCTCGTGCCCCGTGGCCCCCCTGACTCCCTCGTTGTCCCCAGGGCCGCCCAGTACGCCTGTGCCTTGGCCGGGGCCGCGCTGAACCGCGCCCGGAACGAATCTGGGGCCAGCTCCGGGACCCTGAGCCGCCTCCAGCACCTGGAAGCTCATCTGAGCCTGGGCCGCAAGCGTGAGTGGGGGGGGCGGTTTTGAGGGTGGGCAGGGTGGCTCTGGGGATCCGCAAACWCCCGGTGACCCCCCTCCCCCGTGTCCCTCTGCTGCAGTCCTGCGCTTGGGGGGCTCGGCCGAGGCCCTAGGGAGCGCCCAGCGCTCGCTGCATCTGCCCGACCCCGTCCTGCGCTTCTGCCTCACCCTGTCCCACCTGAACCGTGCACTCTTCCTGGCCTGTGACAACGTCCTGTGGGCCGGGAAAACGGGGATCCTACCCGGCCTCGACACGGACAAGTGGAGCCAGAGGTCTTTCAGGTGAGTGGGGAGAGGTATCTGAATTTGGTGGGGCATTCGTGGAAGGAAAGTTGGAAAAGCCTCCTCAGGTCCATTGGGTCAGCGGGGCAGGAAGGGGRAGTTGCCAAGGGAGAGCAGGGAACAAGTTTTCTGAGGGAGAGCAGAGAATGGGATTCCCCTGGGGAGAAAAAGAAAGGAACGGAATTTCCAAGGGAGGACAGGGTGTGGAATTATTGAAGAGTAGCCAATGAGCTCCTCCAGAGAAGGCAGGGAATGCAATTCCTCCAGGGAGAGTAAGTGGTGAACCTCTGAAGGAGGTCAAGGAATAGGCCTTCTGAGGGAGCCTGGGCAATCGAATTCATGAGTGACGGCAGGGAAGGGAATTTCCATCCGAGAGCAGGTTACTGCTGGCTGAATATGACTTTTGCATCCCCCCCCCAGACATTTCTGTGGCTATTGCGAGGGTCAGAGGCTTCTGCTGCCAATGTTGCCTACTTTCCCATCCCTGTTCCTTTTTTTTCCCAGGTATTACCTGTTTGCTCTGGTGGTGAACCTGAGCCGGGATGCCTACGAGATCCGAGTGCTGCTGGAACGTGCGGAGGCAGCCAGGAAGCGTGGGAAGAGCCCGGAAAACAGGCCCCAGCTCCAAGCTGATGGCAGGATCCAGCGTTTCCGGCTCCACTTGCAGCTCCAGCTCCAGCTCCTGCTCCAGGTGCTCCGGGACAACCCCCCACTACTGCTGGACCTGCTCCGGAATGCCTGTGACCTGGTGATCCCACTGGAAAAGCTGGGGCTGTGCCGGAGCAGCCCAGGATTCGTGGGATTCTGTGGCCTCACCTCCTCCATGCTCTCCATCCTCACCATACTCCATCCCTGGCTCAAATTGAAGCCTTAGTTAACCCAGGACCTTCCTTGGGATGTTGGGAATCCTGGGGGCTTATCCCCGGGCTGTGACACCTCTGSAGCTGACTGGCACCTTCCATGCCCATCAATTCCTGACTCCTTGGAGCCACAACGTTCCAGCATTGGATCCAGCGATGGATCCCACAGGGACATCAGCTCCTGAAGTGTGCTTCTTCCCATTGACTTTTCCAGCAATTTTAGAGGTTCAACATGCCCCTTTTCTGTCTGGGAAACGCCTTTAACATGGAGCTAACTAATGGGGAATATTTGGGTCTGGAAAATGTGGATTGCTGGGGGCTTCTCACAGTTTTTGTGTGGGCTGAAGCCAGGGGGTTGTGTGTATCAACCAGATTACAGCCAGGTAGTGTATCCAGCCCCTAATTGTTTGGGCAATTTTCCAGCCTTATAAGAAATCTGAGTGCAGGGAGAGGGGACTGGGAAGAATGGGTGTCAGGGGTCAATCCATGGCTTTAGTGAAAAATTCAGACCAGAATTTGCCCTCCTGAATCTTTCCTGMAAGCCCCGGGGAAAGAAGTGACTGGAGTGAGTTGTGCCAACTGGAGGATCTCTCCCAGCACTCCCATATGGATTTCTCTCTGTCAGAGAACACGGAGAGGACTCGGCACCCTGAGTGCTTCCCAGCAGATCCACCTGCCTTTCTCTGCCCAGAGCTGCACMAGATCCACCTTGGCTGTACTTCCCAGGTATCCTGTTCAGTGGTGTTCTTTGGGATGAATCAGAGCATGGCTGGCTCTCTGTCAGGATTCCCTGCAACCAGTATTTCTGATACTGCTGCCTCACTGAATTCCCTTTTCCCCTGGACACTGGATTGCTCCAGCTTCTATGTCTATTACTAAACCCCTGGACCCAGGAACACACTGGGAGCTAGGAGTTTTTTAATCCCAGAGGCTGATTGTCCTTGGGTATGTACTTGGGAGAGCAGGYATATCCTCTTGAAGGTTGGGAGCTGCATACCAAAACGTCACCTACTTCTGGGCCCATCTGGGCTGTGCCAAAAGCTTTTTCCTAGGAAAACCAGGCATTAAAGGCTTTGAAGCAGTGTACATCCCAGTGGGAATTGGGGTGGGTGGGAAGTGCTCCAGGGTATCCCACAGTGTCAGTGTAAATAATTAAATAATTAAATTATTAAAGCCCACTGGCCTCCAGTCCCTGTGTCTTGGGATATGGGGAAATGCAGGACGCTGGGGTGGGAATCACACAATCACAGAGTATTCTGAGATGGAAGGGACCTACTAGGATCACTCCTGGGGACTGCACAAGACACTGCAACAATCCCATCCTGTGCCTGAGAACATTGTCTGAACACTTCTGGAGCTCTTGGAATTGTGACCATTCTCTGGGGAGCCTGTTCGGTGCAAAACCACCCTCTGAGGGAAGAACCTTCTCCTGATAGCCACTTAAACCTTGCCTGGCACAGCTCCAGCTGTTCTCTCGAGTCCTGTCCCTGGTCACAGGGAGCAGAGATTCCAGCTGCCCCTCAGAAGGAGCTGTAGATCCCTGAGGCTCCCCCAGGCTGAACAAACGCAAGTGCCCTCAGCCCCTCTTTGTGTGGCTCCTTTAGACCCTTCCCCATCTTCGTGTCTTTCTTTTGCCCATTAATTTAATGTCTTTTGAATGTTGCGGTGCCCAAAACTGTCCCCAGCAGTGTGGGTGAGGCTGCCCCAGCATAGAGCAGAGTAGGKAAGTCCCCTCTTCATCCCTGCCCAGTGCCCCCCAGAACACAGATGTCCCTCCTGGCTGCCAGGGCACTGCTGGCTCAGACCCAACTGGCCACTGACCACCATCCCCAGGCCCCTTTCTGCAGCCTCTGTCGAGCACCTCATTTCCCATCTGTCCATACATCCAAGGCTGCCCCACCCTGGGTGCAGGAGTGCTGGACTGGGGACACTGAGAGGGGCTGGAAATTCTGGACTGGGAGTGCTGGGCTCAGACCCTCCTGTGGTTTCAGGGGACTTTGGAGAACCCTTGGAACTGGGGGGGTGGCATCYCTGCTTTTCCCAGGGGTCAAAGGTGGGCACAGGAGATAGCCAGTCCCTTTCCAGTCCCATCCCATTCCTGTCCTGCTTCTCTAGGGTTTCTGTTCCTGCTCCGGTGAACCTGGAGCAACTTCCTGCATCCCAGGGCTGCCCCAGGGAGGTTTGAGGGGYGAGGGGGCACGGGGTGTGGTGTGTGAGAAGGATTTGGAGGGGGGTTTGTGTTGTCCGGYGGCATTTGGCCATTGAAAAGGAAAAAGAATCTGGAGTGGGAGAAGGCTCCCCCTGTGGCTCGGTTTCTCCTGTGATCCAGGGGGGCCCTACCTGGGCGGGGTTGTCTGTGGCCACTGCTGGGGCTGCACAGTTGGTGTTTGTCTGTTTTTCTCCTCATTCCTTGTGGTTTTTTTTTTTTTTTTTTCCTTAAAATTCCAGCCCGTCCCACAGCCGCTGGCAGCACAAGTTTTCCTCTGTGCTAAATCTGAGAGGAGTTGTTTTTTATTTTTTTTTTTCCCGAAACCGCTCAAAATCTCAGTCCAGGAGGCGGCAGTGTCACCCGGAGGACGTGGCAACCCAAAATCCACCTAAATCCACACCAAATTCACCCAAGCCCAAACCAAACTCCACTCAGAGCCCAGCGGGTACCCCCAAGACCCCTTATTGCAACCCCCACTCCTGATGGTCCCCACGGGGAAGATCCAGGTGTCACTGCCACCTCGGTGTGGTTCAGTCCTTGGGGGTGACAGGCACTTTTCCCACCCCATTTTGCCAGGAAAAGAGGAAAAATACGCTTCCAGAGCCCTCCAAGCACCCGGCGCTCCCCACAGAATCCTGCACCCACCTTCTCCGTTCCCACTCCCCTCTTTCCTGTGTTTGTACCACTTGGCCCGTTTTTTTTTT